AAAATGGTCCTGGAATGAAAGCCCGTGGATCATTGTAAGATTAAAATGGACCAAGGGAGACAACAACCTGCATAGGAGGCTTTAGATATTTTTAATTGGTCCCTCTATTAGTACGAAATATTTAATCAGGTCCTTCTATTAATATACGGTTGCATTGTGTCCTTCTGTGACAAAGTTTATGTTTAATATCATCTCTCTTTATGTTTCTATATGTTCACAGTGTTAGCACTTATTAGTTGACAAATTATATTGTTAAACATCTACTTGATTCAGATTAGAATTTCAGTTTTTTAATAAAATATCAAGTCATTTTTGATAAATAAATTAAAGAAAAAAAATCTAAAATAAATTACAGTAAAAAAAATTGATTCTTGTCCACGTGTCACAATATCATTCATCAATAATTGTTACCGGTGCCCATTTCTACGAAGACGAAAATTGATGATTTCGACGACAAAGCTTTGTAGTTGTCACTGGTTTCCGTTACTTCCAAGACAATAGAAAATGGACATCTTTATTACAAACATTCGACAACAGCTCCACTCGTTGTCCTATTGAAGTGTCTTTTAATCTTTATTTTTCGGGAGAAGATAGATGAGAATTAAGAAATGATTTTTTTTTTTATTTTTAAATTATATTTTTGGACAGGGTTTTGATTTATATTGGTTTATTAACATTATAATAAAATCAATTAAATATTTATAATAAAAATAAATAAAAATAAATTAATTCTAAAATACTCGAGCACCATTTCCGACCACTATTCCAGTGGCTGAAATTTAAAAATAAAAGATATTACATTGTCATCTTATTTTTACAAAAAAAGATTCCGTCCATTTTTTGTTTAACAAAAAAGAGAAAAGCATGCTAACCTGGTTTTGTAAATCTAAGTGAGTGGGTTTTTTTTTAATTAAAAAATATGTTAATCATGGTGGGACAGTGATAAAACAAAAGAATTTGTCGAGAGCCTTACATAGTAACTATTTACACTAGAAAACTGGGAGTAATACACACTTTATTCACTGATGCTTATAGCTGTTAAATAGCCTTACAATAACAAAAGATAACAACCCATAATTGTAGGATCTAGGATGGTGGTACATGACTAAATCAAGAAATAACAGAAAAAGGCTCTTCTCCCTCAAATATTGGAGAATTATTTGCAACACTGAATAATAATTGTCAACTACCAAAAAATACTAACTTTATCATCCTCCCTTGAATTGCATGTTCTTAACATTCAGTCTATTCAGAATATTCACAAACACCCATTAATTCTTGTATTTTTAAAAAAACTTCAATCTTTAATGGTTTGGTCATAATATTAGCAACTTGTTTATGAGTAGTACATTGAGTTAGCTCTATTACTTTATCTTTGACTAGATCATGAAAAAAATGAAAGCGAATATCTATATGCTTGCTACGACCATACATTACTGGATTTTTTGAGAGTTTGATGATTGATATATTATCACAATACACCACCGTAGGTCTGGACAACACATGAGTTAGACTTTTCAAAATTCTTTTTAACCAAGCAACTTGACAAGCACTTGATATTGCAACAATAAACTCAATTTCAGTGGTAAAGAGAGTAACTACTGGTTTTTTTGAAGACCAAGATATTACACTTGATTTCATCATAAAAACATAACTTGAAGTACTCTTTCTATCATCTTGATTACCTATATAATCACTATCTGTATAACTACAGAACTTTGCATCTCCTCCCTTCCTATAAGACATCTCGAAACTAATTGTCCCCTTTATATATCTTAGAATCTTTTTTGCTGCCAACAAGTGAGATTTAGTGGGATGTTTCATGTATCTACTAATTAGACTTACTATAAACATTAAATCAGGACGCGTAATAGTTAGATACATGAGACTTCCCACCATTTGCTTATAAAATGTACTATCAAAGTGTACTCTTCCTTCATCTGTTGTTAGTTTAAATCCAAGAACAATTGGATTAACCCATGTGGAATCTTTCTACAATCTCGTGAGCATATTTTTAGTGGCTAATAAAAATGTCATCTTCCTTTTGCAATACTTCAATGCCTAAAAAGTATCTCATTTTCCCAAGGTCAATCATATTAAATTCATTCATGATTGTCTTCTTAAATTAATTGAACATAACTTCATCATTTCCAGTAAAAATAAGATTATTAACATAAAGATAAATGATTAATATTTTACTTCTAACTACTGTTTTTATGAACAAAGTATGTTTATAAGGATATTTGAGGAAGCTTTCTTTGGAGAAATAGGACTCTATGTGATTGTAGCAAGCTTGAAGAGCTTATTTGAGTCAATACAATGCTTTCTTAAGTCGTAGACTTTTGTTTCTTCCCCTTCCCCCTTCTGCTCATAACCTGGAGGTTGATCGACGAACACCTCTTTATTAATTTCACCATGCAGGAAGGCTGATTTTACATAAAGTTGATAAATCAACCAGCTTTGTTGTGTTGCAAAAGAGAGCACCATACGAATTGTGTCTATCCGAGCCACTGGTGCAAATATTTCTGCATAATCCACCCAATATTGTTGGTTGTAGCACCTGACAACTAAACGAGCTTTATACTTATCAACTTCTCCATGAGTTTGGTTTTAAAAATTCACTCCACTCTAACTGTTTTTCCTCCTACCGGCAGATTTCTTAATTCCCATGTCTCATTCTTCTCAATTGCTGCAATTTCCTGATTCATGGCATGCCTCGAGTTTTCACTTTTTACAATCTCTTCAAAGGTTGTTGGATCACTGTTGGTGAACAAAGCTAGATGAGCTATATTTACATCTGTTACAGTGAAGAAACTGTGATCAATTTCATAATCTGTTAGCCATGCAGGATGTCGGCGTGTTCTACTTTCTGCAATTGTGGTTTTTGCACTGGGTGAGTTAGCTAATTTGTTTACTTCAACACTAGCATGTTTGGTGTCATTTTCATTCAGTATTGCTACAGTTGCATGTGAAGGTTCTTCTTGAAAAATACTCTGTGCAGACCCATTCTCCATTGGTTCTTCAACTGTATGAGACTCATCCTTATTTTCAGTGACTTCCTATGCTAACTCAGCTGCTGTAATTGGCTTGTGAATATCACCTCAATTCCACTGTTGGTATTCTTAAAAAACCACGTCCCTGCGAATAATTATCTTCTATGAAATAGGATCAAAAAGCCTGTATGCTTTAGAGTTCTCACTTACCCTTAGAAAGACACATTTCAGACTTTCAGCATCTAGCTTTACCCTTCTGTGATCAGGAATATGGACATGGGATATACAACTAAAAAATCTGAAATGTGCCACTAAAGGTTTGATGCCATTCTAAGCTTCTACAGGTGTCTTGTTTTTCACGGCAAGAGTAGGACTTCTATTAAGGACATGCATCGCCTAATTCATTGTTTCTGGCCAAAAGGATTTTGGAATTTGTTTCTCCAACAACATACTGTGCACCATATTCATAATGGTTTGATTTTTCCTTTGCGCAACACCGTTTTGTTGAGGACTATATGGTGCTGTCAACTGTTTGGATATTCTATTCTCATTGCAGAAACTGTTGAATGGTGATGAAGTATGTAAGGATTAACGGACATCAACTATCTCTACATTGGTATGATATTATCCACTTTGGGCCTAAGCCCTTATGGATTTGCTCTTGGATTATACCCAAAAGGCCTCAAACCAATGGAGATATTTGTCCATCCTTATATACCCTTAATCCTCCCCATTTCTAACCAATGTGGGACTTTGGTTGCATACCCAACAATCTTTCCCTCGAACAAAGGACCACCGAGCCTCTCCTCAAACGATTATTTATCCATCCACTCTCTGCCAACCAGGATTTTTCATCCTCTACTTCTCTCTACTTCATCGTGTTGGGGTCAGGACACGTCCATGAAGCATCCGGAGAGCACTACCTGACTTGAGAGTTTTTGCTCTTTCTAGGTCAACTCCTCTTCACCGTGTTGAGATCAGGACACGTCCATAAAGCATTTGGAGCACACCGCCTATCCATGGATCACATCGTGATTTTTTTTTTAATTAGGGCCCACACCTTTTGTTCGTCATTCCGAGGATTCATCCATCATGGCTAACTCTGGGGCATGGCTCTGATACCACTTATAAGGATTAACGGACATCAACTATCTCCACATTGGTATGATATTGTCCACTTTGGGCCTAAACCCTCATGGATTTGCTCTTGGATTATACCCAAAAGACCTCAAACCAATGGAGATATTTGTCCATCCTATCTATTCTCACACTTTGAATGAATGTGCTGGTTTCTTTCTCAACCTTAACCATATAGATTTTGAATGTAGCAAAGGCTTCTGACTTGTATGTCAAGAAATAAACCTAGAGTTTTCTACTGAAATAGTCAATAAAAGTAATGATATACCTTTTGCTGCTGTTGGAAACTGGAGTTATTGGACCACATATATCCACATGTATCAATTGAAGAATTTTTTATGCCCTCCATATGCTACCTTTTAGAAAAGAATCACGATGTTGTCTTCCTGCTAGACGTCCTTCACACACCTGCTGAATAGCTTTGAAATGAGGTAACCCATCCACCATCTTCTTTTGCCACAGTATATTGATGCCATTCCAGCTGAGATGTCCATAGCGATAATGCCAAAGAGTATATTAATCAATGATTACAGAGGAAAGACATTTTTGATCTTTTGATCGTGAGCAATCTGCTAACATAACAAACATTCAATTATGAGTCATTTCAGTCTCAATAATCAAACCTTTCTCAGGATGAAAGATTTTACAGTTCCCTTGTTGAATAAGCACAGCAAGTTCTTTTTCTTGTAGTTGGCCGATGCTGAGCAGATTGTTCTTCAGTTCTAGTACAAAATATACATTTGTGATCACATGAATAATGTCATTCACCTCCATTCGAACCCTGCCTTTTCCTTGGACAATAAGACTTGAGTTATTTTCCATCTTTACTGATTCTCTGAAATTGCTATCAAAATGATAAAATATGTCCCTCTATCCACACATATAGTTGCTGCATCTAGAATCAAGAAACCATATATGTTTTGTTTCAGCTTGCTGCAAATTAACATAAGCCATCAACAACATCTCTTCTCTCGTCTCTGCATAGTTTACCTTTTGATCCCATGCTTTCCTTGGACATTCCCACTGAAAATGTCCTCGGTCACCATAGTTATAACATTCTATGGTTGTTTTATCAAAACCAAATTTGCCTCTTCCTCGTCCACGATAGTTATTTCTACCACCATCTCTTCCTCCTTGTTGTGCCCCGTAAGTCGTTTGCAATGCTCTTTCTTCGATGACAACATGACGGCTAATTCTCTGTTCATGAACCAACAAGCTACTCTGTAGCTCGTCAATGGATAAAATATCCAAATCATTGGATTCTTTTATAGAACAAACAACATAGTCATATTTCGGAGTCATAGACCGTAATATCTTCTCAATAATCACCACGTCCTTCATGCATTCTCCATGAATTCTCATTTTATTAGCAATAATGAGAGTTCTTCCAAAATAGTCGTTGACTGATTCTGCAGCCTTCATAAGCAGTGTTCCAAACTCTTTGCGAAGAGCCTATAATTGAGCACGTTTTACACGTGCAGTTCCTTGATATTTCTGTTTTAAGGAATCCCATATATCTTTAGCTGTGTCCTTTTTCAATATTGTTTCTAATATTGATCGATTAAGAGCTTGAAACAGATAATTTTTGCACTTCAGGTCTTTTAACTTTTGCTCATCAATATGTTTCTGTTGTGCTTTGCTGGGATCAACTCCTTCTGCTGCTGCAATGATCCCTATTTCCAGCAGGTGCCAATACTCTTTGGAACGTAGAAAATTTTCCATCAGCATACTCCAGTGATCATGGTGTCCATCAAACCGTGGGATTGCAGGTTGTACAAAACTGCTTTTAGATGCCATTGTTTCTTCACATTGGTAACTGTGTTAAGAACTCAATAAATGTTGATTGCCCTGATCTGTGTCTTCTCGTCTGTGAAGTATGATATGAAGAAGGTTGTGATACAAGTTTTGTGGAGTTTTTGTGGAGAGGCTCTAATACCAAATGATAAAACAAAAGAATTTGCCAAAAGTCTTATACAGTAACTGTTTACACTAGAAAGCTAAGAGTAATGCACCCTTTATTCAATGATGCTTATGGCTGTTAAATAGCCTTACAATAACATAAGATAACAACCCACAATTGCAGGACCTAGGATCGTGGTACATGACTAAATCAAGAAATAACAGAAAAAGACTCTTCTCCCTCAAGTAACGGAGAATTATTTGCAACACTGAATAATAATTGTCAACTAACAAATAATACTAACTATATCACCTAGTTCCCTTTTACTTTAATTTCTATTTTTTAATTTGATTTTAATTTAATTTAATTAAAGTAGATAAATTAAAGATAGGTGTGGGATGTCCGATTCGGCGGCTATTCATTTTGAATTACAATAATTTAAGTATATGCTTCACCGCTTTTTCTTGTCCATTTACGGCAACGACATGAAGAATGTTCTGCCTTTTGTGCTTGACAAATTCCATTGGATCAGACCACTGCTTAAGCAACTCCTCTACTACTTTAACATGGCCCTTTATGCATGCAACAAGGATGGGTAAGTTGCCTTCTTCATTGCTTTCAGATGCACTAAGTTCCTTTGACGGGAACCGAACTTCTTCAGCATTACCTTGTGATGGTGCAAAATGAAGTGCATTTCCTATCTCCTTGTCACGAAAATAGAGTAACTCTGGCTTCTTTTCTGCGATGTTTTCTCAGTACATCTGAAATTCAGAAAGAAAATTGAAACAAATATGTCATACTGTTAATTAGCTATAATCTATATATATGATTTGACTATAAAATATTGTTATCACCGTTATTAATTTTTTTTTTTGGCTGGACAGCAGCGTGCATGTGCCGGGGACGTCATTCCATCAAGCTTGCACAGTGAATCAGTATCTTCGGCTATGCAGTCCAAGAGAAGGTCAAGTATTCTCTCCTCTTGGTTATTCTCGAATTCTTGAGCGAGGGAGATTTGTCTGCCTTCTTCTTGCAGCCAATATTTCCGACTGCAAGGCACAAGGGAGATTTGCCTGCCTTATTCTTGAAATAGGCAAGTTCATTTACAGCCGAAACAAGGAACTCGGCCACGGCACAGTGACTTCGAATCATTGACTTCGAATCACTGCATTATGCAAAGGAGTATTTCCTTCTCTATTCTTCATCTGTAGCAAGTTTGAATCAATGTGGATGAGAGTTTCCGTGGTGTTCAACATTCCAGCTCTCAGATGGGACCAGAATTCCGTAATAGAAAAATACCCAGGTGTTTGATTAGATTCTATATATAAATAAACGATAACATAATTAAAAATTAAAAATTTCACGCCATCAATGTCATAGTCTATTTTTAACATTAATTTTTTCTATAAATTATTTTTTATCAAGAAACCAGAATAGAAACCCAAAATTAAAAAAATTTATTATTTTATAAATCTCCTCATTTTTCAAAATTTTGACCTGTTTGGGATATTTTGTTGATTTTTTAATATTCTTAGCCTTGAGCGGGAGAGAAGAATGTAAAAAATTGAACAAAAAAAGAAGAGAAAAGGAGAAAATGACCCTTGTAAAAAAAATGAAATCAAAAGAAAGTGAGAGTAAAAATTAAGAAAGCAGAAAAAATAATAAATCTTAAGATTTTTTGATAATATTAAATTGTTGTATAATAAAAAATCTTAGATAGTTTATTTATTTTTTATTGTAACATATCAGTTTTTTTTTCTAAGTCTTTTTTTTTATTATATCTCTGTATTTTGCTTTGACTATTAGTTTTATGGTCTTTTCAATATACTCTTGATTATTATCTAAAATTAAAACAGAGAAAAAATAAAAATATTTGAGTGAGGATTGAATATTTTTATCCACATTATTTTTTAGTCAAATTAACCAATTTTTAATATCTAAATCCTTCCCTAAAATTCTAGAATCCAATCAAAGTATATTAAGATAAGTCTACTTAAATAACCAAAAAGTATGTGTGTGCGTATATGATTTCATAGCTTTCACAATTGACGTGATATTATCATATCTCATGTGGAAGATTTTTTGTCAAAACAAATATTTCAGCATAACATTTCTTGTAAAGTGTTGTGGTTTTACTATTATTTCCATATAAGTTCGTCCTTTCTTTCTTTTTTCAATAAAAATACGTGCTATAAAGCCTATATGTAGTAATGTATTTTTAATATTCTTCCAACAAAAGGAGTCTAATAAATGCATGCTTCAAAAAAAAAAAATAGAAATGCCCATACATTCAATTGGAAACTCAAAAGTTATTTCAAATTCAAATAATTATTACAATCGACAGAAAAGAGATCCAAGGTTTTATTGATCCCAAAACCTTTTAAAGGTGGGAAATCCCACAAATCCTGACCTCTGTCGGTGAAGATCATCCTGGATAGTTACCTGTGCTTTCTGATGTCAATTTTATAAGGCAGCCACTCGTAAGTGTAGAAAAGAAACCAAAAATATTTGTAGTAGAGATAATGCGAGAGCTCTGGGATGCCCCCTGACGGAAGAATCCAAGGAATAACAATGAAAACCAGAGTACACAAACCCATAAAGACCTCCAGTGTAATGATGATTTTTGACCACGCATCATCGGATCCTAGTAATGCTATAGTCACAGCATAAATGAATGCCTGGAACATCTTGAGAATAGCCAAACTAACGATGACGACTGAAAATCCAACCGCAAAGATTCCAAATTTGGCATCAGTAAAGTTTGCCCTAAGAAGGATTAGAGCTGCCACCAGAGAGAGACATAAAGCCCAAACATCGCAAGATAAATAAGCATACAGAAGCCTCTCATAACCAGCAGGACTGTAAAGGTCAGGGATGTTATAGGAAGCAGTAATACTGCTGTGAAATTCATGATGATGTTTACTTGAGATAATATTACCCCTTAATTGTGGCAATTGAATGGCTCCCCCAAAGGTCACACCAGTAACAAGCACTGCTACCAGTAACAAGCACTGCTACCACAAGAAGATTCCCTATCCTTGTTTTTGTTTCCTTTTTCCTTGGTTGCATGGGTCGAGTACCAGTGAAATGGTCACGTAATGATTCCCTAGGACAAGCATAGGAGTATAGGATCGATAATGTCATCATCTGCACATCAAGGGAAAAGAACTCGATGGTTTTAATGTGTTTTTGGCACTTCTATTATTGGCATTTTCCCTGTTGCCTTTGAAGATCATTAAAAAGCGTTGGCATCCCTAGAAATTCCTTTTTGGTAACAAGATAGCAAAATTCTGGAATGGTTTCGGAATTTTGAATATTATAATATAGAAGTTAAACTAATCGGCGCAGAACTAGTTGTTCAAAAACTTGCATCTAGTTGATCAACACCGCTTTTAGCAAAGGTAGTGTCTTTGCATTCTAAACCAAGACCCTCAAGAAGCCATCCCCTTTCTTAAATTCTATCTTGTCTTAAGCTCTTCTGGAAACCAAAAGACCACAACTAAAATGATAAAGGATAAAAAGAACGAAAGAAGAATGAAGAAAAGAAGTAATACCGCTCCATAAATATCTCGCCGTTCGTAATCTTTTAGTGATGCCTTTTTCGTGTCTTGCTTGTTTTGATCAGCTGGTTTGTCCTGTCTCAAGAAAAACGTTAACATGTGTTATTTTTTTTATTTATATATTATGGCTAGACAATAATGTAAGCCACTCAAACTTTTGAACAGCTAAAATATCCTTAGAGCTACATTAAAAATAATAAAGCTGACGAACTTTTTTAGGTTCGCCAGTACTTTTCTTATGTCAAACCTGTAGGCTTTCCTACAGTAGAACATTTTAATACGATAATCTTGCTTATCCGGTTGACCCACCTCTCAACACCTTGCTTGTGTTGTAGTATTTGACTTATATTGAGAGAAGCATGCAGATTTTAGAGTGGAGCGGAGGGAAGCCTACTGCCTGCCGATTGGATAGTGAAATATAACTCTTGTATGGCACAACATGGGTTTACTATAAATACATGTTATATAATACTAATTTAATAAATAATGAAATATAATTCCTCGTTTTTGTTAATGCAGACAAATAACCGAAGCACGTTAAATCTGTGTGTTTTTCTTGTTTTTTCTTTTTTGCAATATTCATATATTTTGATTCCCATAACATCATAACATATTCCATAATTTTCAAATCTTTTCATATCGTTTCTGTATATGGAATGTATATCTTTAATCAAAATATTTAAAATGCAAGCAGAGCAAGTATCAACATATCTCTTTTACCTCGGTCCCTTCCACCCTGTTATTTGAATCAAAGTGCTGTCGCTCCTCAGCAAACTGGAAACAAAGAGGAAGCATAGGTACCACATTATTAACGCAATTATAATACTAAAAACTATACTCTTGTAGCTCTTCATACCGTTCCATCTGTTCCTTCATATCGCTGTACCGCTATTGTGGATTGTTTTCTACCAAGTTCATATGGTGTCAAACCATCATTGTTAACAGCATGACGATAAACGCGTTTGTCACGCACAAGATGCAGTAAACAAATTAATCCCAGTGATAAGAGTGCCCTGGTAAGCATGCATCTCCAGGGCAAGTGGCTCTAGATGACGAAGAGGAGTCTTCCAAGACATAGCAATCATTTTTTGTCCTTGATTTGTACCCAAACGACTTGATGAAGGAACCTCAATCAAGACCTTGCAATTTACAAACGTGAAGTCCTTCCAGCACCTTTTTTTTTTTAATTAATTAAGATATCCAGATAACTAATAATTACTTTAAGATTTACAATACTCAAACTAATAATTTATAAAAAATAAATTTAAAATTTAACTAGTTAAATCATATCCTCAGGGTTATCCCACCAGCACTTTCAACCTGAGTTGAGGCCATTGCATATCAATATTTCTCAATAAATGGGCACCTAGATAACAAAGCTCAATAATCCTTCCGAGGATATTTTCTACAATAACAAAGATTAAAATTCTTCACTACGAAGAAAAATTAGAACAAACTAACAAAGTAATTGAAACATCTCTACTTACACCAACAACGGTAAACATACAACAAGAGCGGCAATTCCTCATCATTTTGTATAAGGGTAATTGTTGAATTTTCTTTCTATTTTTACTTGTCCTATCACTATTTTCCCTTCAAAATGGTCACTTTACAAACCTTCCACTAGCCAAATGCTCTCTGGAAAATCAGTAGAAACAGAACCCAGGATTACATTCAATTTGGGCTCCAGCTGCATAGTATACAAAATCTACTCCCACTTTACGAAACCATCCCATTCTTCAAACTCACTGCACCAATCATCATCCTTTCCCATTCTAAATAACCCAGACAAAAAATTGACCACATTCACTTCTCCCTCAACAGTCCATAACAAAAGCAAAGCAAAAACAAAAACCAGCTTGTTAGTATGCCTTCAGGCTACTCAGATACCCAATATGCCATCCCACATGTCAGCAAGCAAAGAATCTATCAAATCTTAAGAGAACAAGGAGTTTGTGCTGTTATGAACCAGCATCCCAGAGATCCTGGCACAACTACAACTAAAAGCTCCTATCTGTCAACATAACTGTGGTCATCTTATCAACAGAATTAATCCTGGTACTCACCACTACCCTCTTTTGACTTTAAGGTGGGAGACAAGTTATGGTTGTTGGAATCTTCAGCTTTTGAAACCACGATGTTGGAATTGTTAGCAAGTTCCATGGCAGTATTGCAATTATTAGCAGGTAAGACCTCCACACCAGGTCCTAAGCTACCAACCTCTTCACTGGCTGCTGGTTCTTTATTAACATCATCCAACTTGAGAGATTGCGCAAGAAAATCAGACATTTGATTTATGGTATCATCAGCAAGCAAACCTGCACCACCTACTTTCAAACTAGGTTGCTGTTTGGCCTTCCTTTCCTTCAAAGCTCTCTCACATTGATCATAGAAGTCAAAATCATCCAGGATAGATGTAGGTGCATCATGATCCTTGAAGATTTTCAACATCTCAATACCCTGTTCTAGTTTCACCTGAGTATTCAGCACACCAGAGAGAGAGAGAGAGACGAAAAACCCATCAGGCAAAAAGAACTAATCAGTAAGAGGGCTGGATCCATGTAATGACAGAAAAGAAAATCAGCAAACAGTCTTGACCAGACAAAACTTTCATCTTGATTGAATGGTGTCCGCAAATAAGGTTAAACACAGATTTGAAAGGGATAATGAACTTAGAGAAAGGTTAAATGATTTCTGATTCATGAAAAAATATCTGGGCAGCCAGAATACGGTACAAATTAGGACCAGGAAGAATGCAATGAGGTTATAAACACCCAAAATTATACTTTTAGATCAAAAGCTACTAGGCATGACACTCTAGCCTTTTTTATGAAAAGAAACAGCACAGATAGCCTGGGACAGCTGAAGACCAAAAAAAGAAACAGACCACGGTGCTTTTTGGACCCCCATATCACTCAAACTCAACATAAAAACTCCCTTTGCAATCAATGTAACTGTCCTATGTTACATTATTAAACTAATACCCAATGATACTGATCAAATTCTAGCATATTTCATGCAGATAATTGAGATCTGGTTAAAATATAATCCTCTATAGACCTTTGAATAAAACAAAGCATGAAGCGAGCATGAAGTAAAGTCCAAGATAAAAAGGATGGCATGTTTGCATGGCCAACCTAGCTAACAAATGGAGAATTCAGATATAATATGGAGTTGATAAATGCACAATATCAAGCAGCATTTTTCTCCATGAAGGAAAGACATTTAGCAATCCACTAAGAACAACAGTTCTGGTACTCGTGTTTCTAGAACAGTACTTATTTACCCGTTTCTGTAACATAATCAAAGTAAACTCATGCTCAGAAAAACATCTAGGAATTTATAAATACTCGAGTCATGAGAAGCATTCTAAACTCTATAAATCTAAATAAAATAGCACAAATACTAATAAAAAAGTAGGAATATTAGTAAAATTTTATAGCTTTACCTCTTGAGAATCTCGACTATGAGTAGCAGGCTTATTATCATTGTTTTGAAGTAGTATGTGCCGGAAACGACTATTGGGAACATCTTTAACGATATGCCACTGGACTGGGAACTGGCCATTCCATCTATCTTGCTGCCAATATTCAGCATCCTTCTCAAAGTCTACAGGTCCAACCATTTCTGCTACTCCACAAAACTGTCCACTAGCATTGACCTGCACAAAAATATGTAAACAAATCCAAGAACATTAATGAACCAAAACAGACTTTTTCAGAGCAGCAGCGAATTTTAAACAATGCAGCAAGTATGCAGGATTCAGAAACAAGTAAGTCATTGATGTTGGAATTCAGCTTCAAAATGTAAAAGACAAATAAAACAAAAACTTGTTCCACAAATAAAATCAGCAACTACCTGCTTATTCCACTAACTTTACCAAAAAATAACCAAAAAAAAAACCCATTGTTTTACAACATAGGTCTGCGGTCTTCTGCTGGCTTCTAAAACAAATACAAACTCATAAACCCAAAGGCAAAAAGCAGGAAAAAAACAGCAGAAAACAATGCCCTTTCATATCTATAGACAGAGAAATCCAAGCTACCATGTTCAACCATTCATTACAATTCAGATACCACTCTACATGCATTAGCTTCAACCTGGTTCCCAGCAGTCACAATGCCACTAGCAGAAATCATCGCGTTAAAATAACATCAAGTTACACTGACATACCGAAAACAAAAGAAAGACTGGACAGTTTCTTCCTTTCTCCTTTGCTTCACGATAAGCAGCATCAATTTTTCTGTTCCCGTGTGGAGTGCTTGCCCAAACACTATATTTAATACTTTTATGAACATTATCTTCACTGAAAGACTTGATTATAAAGAACTTGGCATCCTTGTAATCAGTGACAAAATCTAGCTGGTTATATAAATCAAGCTGAATCCCAGAGCTAGCTGAATTGCCTTTGCCATTACCAGAGGAGGAACGCTGTTCAGTGGCATTCTTTCCCTTAAGCTTTGAAGCCCTTGGTCCTCGATTACGGTCAAAACCAAATGGATCGTTAGAAGAATAAATGGGGTCCTGGTCTCTGTATCTCCTCCTGCCTTTATCAAGTCCAACTCGTGTCCGGTCATTAGCCCCTGCATAAGAAATTGAACCACCAGCAAAACTAGAGCTCTGAAAAGAGCCAACATGCTGGTAATGTCCAACAGGGGAAGATGATGTATATCCATATCCATGCAATGATCTTTGCTGAGAACCCTGAAAACATGTCCAAACAAAATTTAACAAGCTCCTTATTGAAGGGTCAGACGAGGAACTGCTAGTAAAAAACACAGATAAGTATGCAAGAAGCCTCACTACAATTAATCTTTGCTCTAAACAGGTAAATTAACAACTTATAGCAATCATGTGTCAAGATCCAGAACAAACTTTACATCACAACTTTTAATAAAAGTTAAGATGATAAACTCAAAGGGGGATTTTTTGGATATAGAAACTTGTGCACCAATTCAGAAGAAACTGAAAAGGCAGTGGTGATGAGCAAGGAAAACAGGCAGTAGATGTGAAAGAGAAAAAGGAATTGAAACTTTTGGAAATTCTAGATTTCATAATTGTTGGAACAAGATAAAACAAACCTGTGCAACTTGGTGCTCATATGGCCCGAGTATGCCCATTGGTTGAGGATAAGCCGATGGAGATGTTGAGGAATCAGAGCCAGGAGCCCCGGACATGTTCCCCCCACCAAATGATCCATAATGTACCAAGTAACCTGATCCTGGTCCAAAAAAGGAGTTGCCACTATTGCTTTCAAATGACATTAGCTCAGATGAGCCTAGAGGACCTGATGAGGGCACATCTGGATGGTAAAATGGGGAGAATGGGATCTGTTGTGGAGAGTATAACTGGCTGTCTATCATTATGGGAGTTAGAGGCGTAGCCATAGGAGAATATTGCCCGTGTCCCATATCAGGATTCAAGCCATATCCGGAATGATACATAAGAGATTGATTATCATTGTATATAATCTGATCACCGTCAGGAAAAAAAGGTAAAAGAAATTATTCAGTTAGAACTATAGAAAAAGAATTTGAGAGTACAATAGTAAAGGAATCATCCTCACCGGAGATAAATGCATTCCATCAGATGCATTAAGATGTTGAGAATACCCATCCCAAATACCAGTGTTATTGCCATAACCTGAAGATGCAAAGATCACCAAGTTGAGACACACAATCCCACTAATCAATGTTCCACATATACGGTTACTAATAACTCATTCTTAACTGTGAACAAAATGAAGATACGATGGAGAAGGAAACTAACTAACCAGCATAAGCTGCCATTGCCTGGTCATGTGAGGTATAATCATAAACATTAAGTTGCGGTGGTGGAGGAGGTGGTGGAACAATGGTAAGATCTGGAGCAACAGTAGCAGATAATTGTGGGCGTTTTATGACGGCTGCTTCCGGGGAAGGATTCACCGAAACAATCCTTTCATCTTTGGGCGAAAGTGGCTTTCATAATTTATATATATATATATGAATTAGAAAACTAAGGCATAAAAAAAACACACAATTCCCCTGATTATCAATTAAAAATCTTTTTTAAAAAAAACAATAAATTACCTGCTCCATCAGAGAATTATCGCGATTAGTGAGTGATTCTCCTGCAAAACGGCATTAACATACTCAGCAACTAAACCAAGCACACGCTATTTTCAAGAAGAAGAAAAAAGAAAATATACTTAAAAAAAAACGCATTTACGAAGTCTACTAATGACTCGATTATTAATTGACGCTGAGGAATTGAAAAACATAAAATTCAAAAAAGAAAGGGCAACAGAGCTTCAGATTGTAAAAATCGAGAGATTAGGTTAGGGTTCTAAACGAAAAGAAATTGTTAGAAAAGAGAGCAAGAAAGGAGAAAAGAGAAAACACGCATGAAAAATATATGGAGAGAGAGGAAGATAGATACCAGGGGGAGAGGAAAGATAATCCGGAGAGGATGGGTGGTCGTCCATTGAATTGAATCAGAATTTTAGAGGAGATCTGGAGATTTTGATTAGGAAAGTTGGTAGGGTTACGATTATAATAATAAGAAGAAGAAGAAACCTAATTAAATAAATAAATAAATAACGGAGGAGTAATTCTGTGTTGTTTGGAAGGAATTCAATTGCAGAAGGGAATTAAATCTTTGAGTTTGAGAGGGAAAGGGAAACACCACTCACTCTCCTCTCCCACAAAGAATCAAAATACCTTTCTTTTTCTTTTTCTTTAATCGGGGTTTTGGACAAGAAATAATTTTTTTTTTCAAAAAAAAAAGAAGAGGACGAAGAAGGACCCAGGAGGAGCGTTTTGGGCTTTCCTTTTTTATTTATTCATTATTATTTTATTTATTTTTTTTAATGTTACGCCGCTCTCCCTTCTCTTCTCCCATGGACCCAACTTTTAACACATACAGACACACAAGGCAAGCCAATGTCGGATAACTGGAAATTCTTTTTTCTTTTTCAATTTTTTCCACTCCAATAGTGCCAGTACTTTACTGCTTTTTTTAGGTATACCGGATTTTATAATAATAATAATAATTAAAATAATTAAAATAATAACAATAACATTCATTATATGAATTTTATATGTTTTAAAAGTTAAAAAATATGACAAATCTTTTAATCACCATCCCTGTTAAACATCATGTTCATCAGACCACTCCCAGAATACAAGATTTAAAATGAGAATTCAAGAATAAAACATCAACATTTATTCAATAAAAAAAACAAGTATAAAAAAGACTTCAGATATATATATATATTCATGCCAAGATATATTTTTATTAATTTTATTTACTCATTGGTCATTTTGAGATTTCTCAAAAATCATAGTAACATTTTAACTCCTATTTTTATATGGAATGACTAATTAAAATTTTAAAACTAATATTGGAAAGAATAAAAAATTATATTTTATTGTTAATGTATTGCCAACCATGAAAATAATAATAATAAAATTATAGCAATGATGGATAAAAATAAAAATATGTTAAGATATTGTGTGGTGAAAAATATATTAAATTATCACAGTGACACATACAATGCATGGAGGCTAATGAAAAATAAAATGGTCTTTATATATTTTTTTATTAATTAATAGTTGGTATATAAGATGAGATATTTTAGTTATTTTAGTATAAATATAAAATCTTATAATTAAAAAAATCAACTAATAAAATAATATTATATGGTATCAATAAAAATTCTAAATATTTTTACCAAACTCTATAAATAAAAAGTTTCATCTTATATATAAATAAGAATTTTTCTTGGATATATAAAATTATTTTTAATTTAGGTTCTCTAAGTACAAAAACTATAAAACTCACTTATAATTATGTTAGATCAATAATAAACACATTATAAATTTAATATTTTTTAAATCATTAAATCTCATTTTGCAATACATGTTTAAATTCTTGTTCTTGCAAAATATAAATTTTGACTTTATTTTACAAATAAATCAAGTTATTATAAATCAAATTCAAGAAAATAATTAATAATATTTTTGTAATAATATTTTAAATAGAGAATCATATATTTTAGTAAAATTAAATAATTGTATGTACGTGCCTACTTGATTTCTAGGCACTTATATAGAGAATCAAGTTCTATTAAACTATATGAGTTTTATCCATGTGTTTTTTTATTCTTGGAAAAAATAAAAAGATCGGGATTGGCAAAAAATAAAAATTCTAACTTAATTTTCTTGGATCAACTTAGGGGTGTTTTGTGTGGAGAATTGGTCTTGTTTAACATATTAGGTGTTTTATTAATGAAAATAAGTTAAAAAATAAATATTGAGCTTAAAACATTCAATTTAATTTTTCAACCAGCTTGTTAATGATTAGAAAATGAGTTTTAAAAATGATACATTGTTTGATTATTTTCTTAAAAAAACAAAAGGATAAATAACATATCCGGCCTCTTAAGCCAAGTGAGAGAAAAGAACTAGCTTCTTTTTTGCCTTTAAATTTGTTTTCAAAAGTCTATTTCTAGTGTTATGTAATTAGATGTCTAAAAAAACCATTAAACCTGAATAAATCTATAACTTAAATTATGAGTTTCACAAATTAATTAAATTCACTTGTTTTGATATAAAACATATTTATTTTAATATTTTTAACAATAAGATAAAATAATGTCGCTTTGAAATATTATTTTAAAGTCAAATAGGTTTTTATTTTTTTTAATTAGAATTTATTGAAATTAATTAATTAAAAATATATCTAGGATATTATTTAATAAAGTATAATTTAAATTTTACTTTGTTTTTAAATAAGATTTGTAACCTATATTGTCAACAAATGCTCTTTTTGTATAGCTCTTGCTTCTTCTTTTTTCCCCTTAAATCTTATTCAATCAGTTTTCTTTTCATATCTATTTTTTATTTATTTGGCTATTAAATAAAAAAAATCAATTTTATAAAATAAAATTATTAAAATCAATTTACTTCATAATTTTCATGATAAGTTTTGTAAGTTAAACCGGAACAGTTAAAAATATTATTGTCTCTATTATTTAAAAAAAAAAAAAACATGAATTGGATTTTTTTAGAAAAATAGTGGGTTAAATGAATTATTTTAGACAATCTCCAATAGAATTTAATTTGAAATCCAAACCTTAACCAAGTCAAATTAATCCGAAGAGGAATTATGTTGGCAAATTAGATTGTTTGGATTGAATTTTTATTTTTTAAAAATAATATTGATATATAATTAATAAAGAAATTAAATAGGATAATAGGAGAAAATGATTCTTTATTTGTATTTATCTTTCAATTTTAGTTTTCGTTAACAAAGTATTTTAATATTTATTAACGCGAAACACAGACACTAGCGTTTCCTGGGAAAAAATGTTCGCAAGAAAACGGCTGTTTTAACGAGCCAACGACGATGTGATCGAAGTAGCATGTACCAGGAACAATGGTCCCGGCGGGGCTCGAACCCGCGACCTTCGGCTCATAAGACCAACGCTCTAACCAACTGAGCTACGGGACCACGAATGCTACCTTAAACATCATAACCTAAATGATGAATTACTTGGCTGGTGATTCCAATCCCTAATTGGTTCCGGTCACATGGGAGGAGGCAGCATTCAGGGCTCTGGTTGTACTTGGGTCGATACCGGCGCAATCGGCCAATTTCAAAAGGGCTAAGTAGCAGTCCGGCCATGTTCCCAAAAGGCCCCCCCCGGGAGGCGGCTCAAGAGGCGCTTCCGCAAGCGCTAGCACCCGCTGAAGTTGCTCATCCCATTCCTAACAAGAGGATGTTGCGGCACTAAGAACGGAACTCCATGGATTAATCAATCCGAAAGGGGGTAGTGTTGTCTCGAAAGGGAGAGTGAAGCGGTTCAAGCTAGAAGAAATTACTTTCTATAAAGAAGGTAAAGGAAGCTTCGATGGAATTCAAGCTCATGACATGTCTCGTTTGATCGATCATAGACTATCTCAAAAGAAAGGAGTCCTCAAATAGATTGCTACGTAACTGCAATTTTCTAATAAATCATGATGGAAATTATTTTGGGTAGGTTCCCCTCTTGCTTCTTTCTTCTAGTCATCATATATCGTGCACGGACAAAGAAGAGGGAAAGA